GCTCTCCAGCAGGTCTGCCCCAAGCCTGTATTGATGCATGGGGTTGTTCCTGCCCAGGTGCAGCTTCAGTGTGGACCTTGAAAAATAATAGTTACCTAGACAAAGTCTCCTAACAGCTGTAGTAGTTTGCTTCTCTAACATCCCAAACTATCTTCACACTGCATACTACTATGAAACAATGCCCCTCAGAGCTGTACTTGAACACCAATTGCTGCATTGTTCTCCTTAGTAGTTATTAAATGAGAGAAGCGTCTTTCCTTATGACTTTCCTAATTTTGGTCTAGGATGCCAAACAGGTATTAAGTCAAAGAGAGACATTTGAATGTAATAACCAACATGCTAATAACAGAGAACAGAACAGTGCTATTCATCTATTTACTGCTACAATCAAGTCTTGATTTCAGGGCACTATTTTCTGGCCGGATATATTCCCAGAAGAGTTGCAATTATACCACAGGTGAGAGAAAAGGGCGTTTAGTTTTCACATTCCTTTTCTAGTGTTGACACACTTGTAAGAAAGTCTCTAGGACTCACTTTTTCTTGTAAGTTTTCTCATAGGTAGGATGTATTAAGTCATCATCTTCTGGTTCTTCTGGTACATTACAATTCCTGAGTTAAGGAGGGAAAAAAAAAAGCATGACAGAAAGAGCTTAGCATCCATGCTTATAACAGGTGATACAGTAAGAACTAAAAGAAGTATTTAGATATTCATCAAAATCTAATTTTACCGGAATTGTGGGTCAGGGTTCAGTGAGCAGAACCACTTCTCTGGCAAGTGCTCTATGCCATCTGGCAGCTTCCGCCATTTCAGGCATGAATCACATTGTACCCATGTCTGATCAGGCTGTTTTCTATAATGGAAAAATATGAGAATTTTCACATGAAAAATTAATTTTCATGACTGAGTGTAAACCAGTAATAGCAGTATGTAAAATTCTTTTACTTAGAAGTGATACTCACTGTATCTCCTCAACCGGCAAGGCTAACTGATATTCCTCGGTTTTCTTTGTTTTCATTTCATTCCAGTAATCGTTAAGCTTTTCTCCTAATGCTGCTATTGTAAGTCTGAAAAGAAATTTTTTTTAAAGACCACCTTAAATAATCAAATCCTAGCACAGAAAGAGCCTTTATAAACTACAGGGAAAGAATAAATGTATGAACTATAACATTTCTATTTGCACAACAGTAAGTTTTTTGCTTTTAGAAAACCCTAGAAATTTTGTGAAGTCATGTTTGTCAGCAAAGAAATTACTAGAAATATAAGCTGGAGCACAGACAAAGACTGAAATCAAGAGTGCTCAATTCAGAAGCACTGCAAACGTACAGTGCAAACCCTGGAACTACCTTACTAGTTCAACCTCATAGAAGAAACAAGTGCAAAACCACCCTCCATCAAATCTAGTACCTAGCTGTGTATTTGGCTGATACTTCTGTACATCCATTAACTGCAGGTCTGTGACTACTCTAAGTTGACATACAACAATACTACATGCAGACTGCAAACGTATGATCACTTTAATAATGAAGTCTACATGCTGCTAAAAGGAGCAGGCCAGTCTTCCCTTACGTTAATTTTTAGCTGGATTAGTTTCCTGACCATTGTGCAGCTCATGGACTACTAGAGCTGGCATACAGGAGGGAGTGGTGCAGAAGAACAACACCAGGCCCCACAGGTGAGGCAGCGGTGAGACTGCCTCTCACCAGCACGCTGAACTTCCATCAGAGTAAAATGGCTGGGTAAACAGAGCCTGAAAGTCAGTCCCCCCCTACCTGGCTTACTGCAACACCTACACCAACCTGTCCCTTGAACTAACACGAGTGTTTGTGCAGTGAACTAGTCTGACCTAGAGAGTTCTGATCTGGATCACCTCTGAATCCAAGTCATGCATTTCAGTGCCAAAAAGAGGAACTAGCACAAGGGCAGAAATGAGCAGCAATGTGTGGGTGGGATCACGACTCTCTTCTGGAGGGGTAAGAAAGGCAAGTCAGTTCACACAGATCAAAGCACCGCATCAACTTTATGCTTCCGTTTTGGGCTGGAAAGTTACCTTATGAAAAACTGTAGCACTCTTTGCAGAAAAACCTTTGTAAAAGATCTTCCAAGTGTAGTATTTCTATGCCCACATTACAAGTGGTTTAAAAAAAAAAAACAAAAACAAATCACCAAAAAACCCACAAAGTAAAAAGTGTTCAATGCTCACTGTGCCAGCCTGTGTGAACATAGTGTAAGCCTTGGCCAACACAAATTACTACCCTAAAGCATTCCTAATTCCTACCCCTCTGTCAAGGGAATTGTTAGTGCCACCACACAGGAAACAGTTGAGGGAACATCTGTATTAAAAAAACTAACACAAGAACTGTTTTCCAGTTTGACCAATTCCCTGATGTGCTTTACCACGTGTTTTCGTCAACAGCTCTGCTGGCACCATGGTGGTAGAAACATGGAAACTGCTTAAAGCTGGCAATACCACTGCAAAGAGCAGCACAAACTGTGGGTACCATTTAAAGACAGAGGCAGATTGAAAAGTAGTGGCTGTAGGAGCTGGCAG